ATTTAATTCGACTCCGCAGCAATACATCTCAAGCTCGATGAAGACATGTTACTTACCTCTCTACAGGCGTCCTAAGTTATTTCATAACGTTCGTTTGTTCTAATAGATAGCACTGGACCCCTACAGCCCTCTGATGTCCGGGCAGTTTTATTTATAAAAGCACTGTCGTCAAGCAGACTGACCAGTACATGTCTTTTTAGGGATGTCCCAGAAATTGTAATGGATAGTTGGGTCTAAGATAATTAACGTTTGCTGAATAACCGCATAATGCCTATTTTACATACAAGTCGCATTATTAGTGGCATAATTTTATATGCCGTAGCCGCATCATGGCATTAACTATAGGGTCAGACACCTGTTTTTCAAGGTTTCCCGTTAACTATGCAACTATGCGGAGTTCGATTCCCCAGTCGGCCCGGGGTGTTCTCTATACAGTTCCTGCTGTTTGAACCCCGAAATATATATATATATATATATATTTCAGAAAACGAAGATGTTGCCGTCGAGAGATGCGTCTTTCTCGAAGAATTCAAATCAACTTTATCGGCCACTAATCTTCAAAGGGTCGATCTACAGCAATCGTTTCTCAACTGGTTGAGACTATGATAATGTAAGTGAGACAGCCTGCTGACTGCAGGTCAGATGAAACAGAGCTCAGGTGAAGCAACAAGTATGTGGGACTATAACCTACTCAAATAGCTATAGTAGGTATTATTTATAGGTAACAGATATTTGGGTGCCCTCTCCCGATTTTTACCCTTCAAAGTTTAGGGTGTCTTCTGAACGTTTCCTGCTCCCAAACATTTTAATACTTCCGTTTACATGCTTGTAATTGTATCGTTCAGTGAGTTAGTAAGAAGTAAAGCACAATTGTATCAGTTTTTCCATAGGCATTTACTTGAGAATGGTTAAATCACTCCATATAACATGTGGGACAAAAGTCGGTCAAGAATATCGCAGGCAGAATTACTAAGGGACGCGAGTTTGTGCCGCCCCTTGTAAACTCTTCACATCCACACTTTCGACCGTTTAACGAAGTTTGTCGTGGATGTCCTTACCCGCCAGCACCTTCACTTCGGCTATCTTGATCTCCTGCACCGGACGTTCATTCACGGTTGGCACATGCTCCATGGCCTCCAGTGTGTTCCAGCCCTCCAACACGTGCCTGAAAAAAATCCACGCCTCATCTAATGAAACAGTTATACCTTTGATACGCAGCCGATAATTAAGGGTCTATAAATGTTGCCATTACGTTCAAAGGCTATAGCAGACATATCTATTCCGCTGTTGCTGGCTAATTGAATTTGTGCTTGACCTTAAAACGGGCGATGCCATTACATAAAACCTAGACGGGGTTGAAACTCGCGTTGTGGGCGCTTTAAACGGAAGTATTGCGTTCCGTTCAGTCTCATTTACAGTCTGTTCGATTTGGACTTTCGACTGAACGGGGAAGAGGGAAGAAGAGTGAGACAGGGAGATGGCGATTCTGCATCAGCTCCCTTCACTTCTGAAGTTTAGACATTGTTGAATTACCATGGCGGGTTAAAGCCATGACCCGCAAAATTGTCAACTGACCGACCAACAGACAGGGGGCGGGCTGAGTGGTTTCTTGCCAACGTGACCTTTGTGGTAGCCCATCCTGCCACTTGAGAACCCCAAACACTTCTGAGTTTGGTTGATGTTCGTGTAGGAACCAGCACATATATGGCGCGCGTAAACTGGATTTTATCTCGTGTCAGGCTCTGCGGCCGCGCCAAACCATCGGCCGTCTAAACCTGGACATGTAACCAGTTATCAACCCCTGAGTAACTAATCACTGCTCATACAAGGCATCTGTCGTGCTGATGTAATACAATGTCCGAACCACTTGCCCTGTACAAAATAATTTGCATGGACAACCAGCTTATAAAGGTCTCTTCGGAGAAACGTCTAACTGTCAAGCCGGACTACGAAAAACAAGGCACGTTTATAGCCAAAACTGTTATTCAGACCACAATAAATCCGCTTTGGAAAGCAGAAGACTTGTAATACATATCTAGTCACCTTAGAATTCGTCCGTTAGTCTCTTCTGATTGCTGCTTATAAATAAGCGCCTTCGTTTTGCCTATGGCCCATAATGTTTGTCTGTTATTAGTTATGCTGGTTAGTGAACAGGAAATGGCCACTTCCAGCGTCCCAAATCATTGTCGGTGCCGTTTTTCAATATCTGATTGTTCCATGATATTCGATAGCTTGGATGGGCCTTAGGCCCGAAACTCACAGGTAAGACGAAGATCCCCATCTCCGTACAGGGATCGGGATTTATCAGTGTAAGTCATTCATACGATGCGACTGAATGCCATATCCACAAGCAACGGTAAGCTCCTTATAACAACGTCATTTTGTCTCAACACTGCTCGCCCAAACAGGACTGCAAATTCTGTTCTGGGGATATTATTTTGCCGCTTGTACGGTAATGAAGTAACGTTGATTTTAACTGACGATTTACGGTAGCTTTATACTCCGATAGGTCGTTCGTTGTCAGAGTGCCCAGAAAGTGCTCAGTAGTTTGACTCGTCCTATCGAGTTTTTAACTGTAGACGGTTGATTAAGATAAGAGTCCTGGCTTACACTAAACGGCTGTCCATGGCCTAAGCATTTTATTACCTGTGCTGAAACTCGATTTTTAAGGAAAAGTCCAAATACCTATTAAATATCAAAACAAATCTTCTGCAGTCAGGCATAAACCCCGCTCATTTCACTACGGCTATCGAGATCTACTAGCAGTCTAAAATATTTTAAATATTTTCACGTTGAAATGGCTTTTTATGGGTTGTGCTAATTTCTACGCTTGTTTTGTGTTTTCCTAAATGAACTCGAAATGCACATTTACTAGGCAAAGGTTTTAATCGTACAAGTTATGTATCCAAGTTTTCGTTGACTGTTGTGATCAATGTTCTAGTTACAATTTCGACTGGTAAAAATGTCAGCATATATAAGCTCATTGCCATTGTCAAAGCTTTTTATCCAGCCCCTCAGTTTTCTCATTTAAATACCAATTCGTAAATTGGTGCATTTAAGTAAGGTAGCCAGAAGCCACCATTTTTAAGATAAGGGCGCTTCGTTGGATAGACAAGGTCAAAGTATACCTTGTCCTTCCTAGTCAGCTCTGACTGCTTATTGGAATAAAGTAACCAGTCTTTGGGTATAGTGGGGAATACGTAAAATAACGCAATGCCCGGACATGAAATCTTGTCCGATGTGCCACACAACGTCAATTAAATATGCTGCTCTACCTTTTCTGTTTTTCCTAAGTAAATACGCCTCTTTCTTGTCTCGTGCTGATTCATATTTTCCCTCTCCTTCAACTAAACTTTGAAAATTTTTAGTACTGTCCGATAGAAGAACTGGAAGTCTGCATTTAAAGTATTCAAAACTAGGCTCAACGATTACTACGATGCGCATGCAAGTTCTCACTCCTCCAGTTTTTCTGTTCCTGTGGAATGTCACAGAGATCAACTATTGAGACTCAAGTAAGGCAGATTCGACAAAAATCAGCTAAGCTACAAAATAAATGTAAGTAAATGACACCTCCTTTTTATCTACAGTTATGAGTCTCGCCACTGACAAAAATTAAGCTGTCGGAGACTGTATTCGTAAGTTGGTAAAATTCTCGCATTTTCTGGTCGTGTGTCAATTGTTCTCTGTTGTTCACAAGCAAAAAGAAAATAGAGGTAGTTCTGCTTTGTCGAATTTCTTACCCAAAAGCAACGTAGCGGAAATCCATCCAACGGGCGGGTTTAAAGGTAATGAAGAACTGGGAGGCATTGGTGTGCCTTCCTTTGTTCGCCATGCCCAAAATACCTCTTTTGTCATGTTTGATACTGAAGTTTTCATCTAATGTGAGCGGGAGAGAGAGAGCAAGGTTGCTTTTTAAGTTCATAAGGTGGCCTTCAGTTTGGAATTTGGCAAGGCTTTTAGGTAATTGCATAATCGACTGTTTGCAGAATGTACCCAAATTGTCGAAATTTTATCTATAATCAAAATCAGTTATAATGAAAAACATCATGTTCCCTTTCAAAAACGTCCGAATGAAAGTGTTCAGCGTAAAGGGTCGCAAACAGCCATGTGTCATGGGATGGGGAATGGTACATACATATATATGCGTGGAAGAATATCATGCATAATGCACTTGGTCATTACGGATCCGTTTTAGTTGAACTTTTTACGAAAAATGAAAATTACGAGTGTGTTGTGAAATAAAAACAAAGGCAAACTCTCTTTAAAAGTTTTCCTTCGGGTCACTGTAAAGACGGATTCTTCGCGTAGATGACGTGCGTGTCTACTATTGACAGAAAAATCCGGTAGCAGAAAAAATTTCGACGTTAGATGTGCAAGTACTCTGTGTAAAAACGTTTACCAGACTTGGAGATAAGGGATACTATGGAGTTTTAGAAGGTTCCTGACGTAACGACTAACAAAAAGACATTGATTCAATTGCGTGCTTCGTGCGGATACTATGGAATCATTATGACGATAACGTTCAAGTACTGAAACCGCACTTAAATGTCTTGGTTTCGTAAAACGGCGAGGACTTAGCCACTATGATAAGACTTTTGTATTTATTAAATCAACAAACTTTTTGAAGACAAAATATTGCTTTGCCTAATCTCTATAGCCATCAGTACGGACAAACGTTAATGGAAACGGTATATCTATTAGAAAAAAAAACAGTGTAGTCCACATAGACTCTCTATAAAAGTTTTTGACCTGTTTTCAGAAAAAATTAGATTTAGGAGGTAGCAAACATAGTATCGTTAGCAATGAATTGACTTGCCCTCAAACACATCGCCGTAAATTGAGTGTCCATCATCGCCACACCCATAAAGAATATCTACAGGTCAAATGGACATGCGAGTGATTACCTCCTCCTTGAATCCAGCCCTCGGGTACTAGCCTGTGAAAGATAGTGTCCTTGTAGGCCATCGTATAAACTTCAATTTCATTTTTAGGAACTGGGTTCAAGTCTCCTCTGCATAGTGACGCAAAGTTTTGGCACGTTTTTGGTAAGAGATCTGAAAATAGCTAGCAGGATTAAGGACTAAGTGCATGCACTACTTCAAAAAGCAGTGTCCCGCAAGCTCTTCCGCCAATTGTTATGACCATGGAAACGTATATTCTCTAGACTGACTTATTAGACTATAATGATAACTTACATCACGCCTGACAAGTTCATCGCGGTACGCATCGTGGGCCAGCATTTCGTAAAATGTATAAGGACGATACTCATCCAGTCCATAATTCGACGATGCCCAGTCTCTGAGTGCCTCACAGTTACCAATAGGCTTTTTGTCGCAGAAACAAATAACTACTCCGTCAAAAGCCCAGTATTCGCCTTTCAGTTCCTTTAAGCATAATTTTAAAGGCGTTATAATTTACTTTTTTCTTGGCACGTAAATATTCAATCCATTCAAATTCGTAAACGCCCTTTATTTTAGGTTCGTCAAAAACTTTTGGGAGAGTTTCATGGAGATCCTTTACAAAATTTCATTGGGCTCAGTAATTTATAAAAACCTTAGCACAGAAACAGGCAGCGTGGAAATGGGACTTCCCAATCAATCCAATAATCTTCAGCCTCATGAGTACGGCTTTGTAATGAGAACGGCTTTATCTCTATGGTGGCGATTTAGACAAACAATTCTTGGTATGAGTTAAATCAGAAATTATCCCAGACTTCTGGCAGTGTAACTAAAATATTAATGACTTATATATCTTTGAAGTAAGTGGACTAATAGTTACGGAAGTTAGCACCGATATAGAAAGATTAGGTTCTCCGTATACGGTCCCTTAAATGTTTGGGCTTTTAAGGATGCGTGCGCATTCGCGAAGGCCTGATTAAAAACGCTTACCATTCACTCGCCTGATGTCAGTTAATCTATAAAAACATGTGCGTACGTTTAGTAAGAACCTAGTTTCTGACCAGAACTGACAAATTTGCATTGTATCCTACCTACTCTTTCCACGTGGACACGAATGTGAGAATTTTGATCGTAACACGCGGATTTTGTCAGCCCATTTCGACGTCAAGATGGCCATTTTTGAAACGATTAGTATGTTTGGAATTCTTGGATTTGAGTAACTCACACCAAGTTGTTATCTTAATGTATAAGAAGATCAGAATAACTCTAAATACTGAACTAAATTCCAAAAAGTAAGTGGGGAAGGATTGGTGTAACACAGATAAGCGAAAACAGAGCGGTTTCGTAATGCAACGACAGAGAATCGCCTTAGCGGGCATCTGGGCTCCCGTTACTGCCCGTAATGGGCGCATGGTAAGTTTATCACTATTTTATTCTATCATATGCATTACACCTTTAAGACATATGGAATGTTTTTCTTACTGAAATCGATTGCGTGGTAAATATTGCTGTCAAAGTCGTATCAAGTTATATGAGCTGTGACAAGAAAACCGAGAAGTTTGAAACAACCAACTCTTTTGTTTTTGTATCAAATGTGGGAATCGGATGCTTTCTAAAAGCAACAGGATTGTCCCAAATACGACAACTTGATGATGAATTAGTTTATGATGATATTAGACTTGCGTTGCGTCTACCCCACTTTCTTTACCCCACCCATCTAGGCCTGCTGTCAAGATATGGGCAAGATGACCGGAGGTGCATGTGGCTTGCACGGCGTGAACCCGTGTCTTGGCGTGCCACTACATACTTTGGTCCGCGCACAAAGAACTATGGTCTCACACAGCAGGTAAGGGGGCCGCCTTGGATCCCAACTGATTAGAGGCGCTATAAACGTCAACCTATGAAGGAGCCATGGCCATCTGACTCTCTATTCTTAGAAGGAGACTGAGTTATACCGGCAGTTGGCAGTCTTCACTGCCACAGCTTTTAGCCCACAGATGTGGATTTAAGTGCATAATACTGCTTATAATGAGGAATACGCGCTGAGACAATTGAACTCACTCACTCGTCCCTCCCGGGCACTAATTCAACATCTAAGCCTGTCAGTCGTCTGATCCTGAGGCTGGTCGTAGTGGCCGACAGTGCTGGGGAGCCAAAGTGCGCGTGGCACACAAACGACCTGGTTCCCCAAAAAAACACGCCCGGACTTCGTACGAGGTAGGCGTACGGCTCGGCTCTCACATGAGTAAATGGCATAGAGATCATATTGAGAATGGATCATTGCAACCTGACTCATAGTATACCTCGGCTACCCCACACAAGCACACAATGGGCTGACCTTGGGGTCTAAGTTTAAACATCAGCTGGCAACCTCCCACTCCAGGCCTTTTGTCACACTGTGAAATATTGCTTCTAATGAAAAAATACGACGAGAGTCGACCTCGCCCTCTCTTTAATCTCCCGCACACCGATGGATTGTCCGAGCCAATCAACAAATTGATACTGAGATTGGGCGGAGTTGCTGAAAGACCTAAAAAACAGTCTTTCTGTGCATGCACACACGTACGGACCTCCAACACAACACACCTAGTTTTCACTGGTCAGATCTCACATGTGTTAGTGTCATGGATGCCACATAGAGAAGGGGCCAAACGTCACGCCTCACACTTAAGTAGGCGGTGCTTGTTCTGCGCCTGCATTGAGTGAGCGATTTGGGACGGCTTCATGTGTAGTGGATAGGGTGGCGGAGGCTGTTCTGCAACGGTTCTTTGCAAATTAGCATAGGGGCGAATGTGACCAAGTAGGCTTAAGTGGCGGTTGAACGTGCGTGGGCAGTGCGTGCAGACGAACGATGACGACGGATGTATTTTGGTGCTCCTGGCATTGGAGTGCCAATCTCAGTGCAATTGATTCACAAGTGAAAGTCCAGGCTGATGCGGGATGTGCATGTACGGTAACAGTATGGGCAAGATAGGTTGAGAACAGCGGATTCTGTTGCAGTCGTCAAACTGTTAGAGGTAGCCGCGCCCGTGGATGGAGAGTTGGTGAGAGAGTTGTCGGGTTTGCATGTTGGGTCTGGTATGTCGTCTTTGCGGTTAATTCTGCTGTAATGGATAATCATGCAACCGAGTAAGCCCGAACTTTGCGTGGAAGTGCGTGGACAGTGCGGACAGTGGGGTGGATGCGGCGAGCTAACACCAGGGCTCTTGACAATGGTTCGTCAATCCCAGTGCTGTGAACTCGCAAGTGACCGATCAGAGCGATGTGCAATGTGAGGGGGCGGTCTCTATTGAAACAAATTATGACTAAGACCACATTTCTAGTGATAGTGATTTTGTTAGCGACGGCGTCGGTGGTGATGGTGCCTGAATGGGCGTCGGTAATCTTATCATCGGTTGTGACAGTGGGCGAGGCGGTAGTAATTTTTGAGGGAGTTTCGACAGGGAGGATATAGGAAATGGGTTTTGATGACGCCCGTTGAGGCGTCTGAGCATTAAGAGTGTGATCACCGGCAGTGGTGGTGGTGATGGTGATGATGGTTGTAGTGACAATAGTGATAGTAGCCACTGCGGACATGGTAAGATTTGGCGCAGGGATAAGTAAAGGGTAATTGCGAAGGCACTAAGTGGAGTTGCTGGGTTGGAAATATTGGAAGGGATTGGATGTTGGTTTGGCGTGAAGGTGCTTGAGAATTGGGAACCGCCACTTTGGCGTTAATGGTGACAATCCCGTCGGCAATGTAGATTGCAGCTCTTATCTTCCTCTCGTTTGTCCGCGCTGGGTGATCCTGGTGAAAATCCCGCAGACCTCCGTAATTATTAGTAAATGCGCGGTGGAGTTCTTAAAGCTGCCATTGCGGCATTGTTTTGACCGTCTTTTCGATGTGTACCTGTGGGGACCGCCTAATACCTAAGAGTAGGCACCCATCGTCCATCCTCGCGAGGGGGTGCTCAAGCGCTGCTGAATTTGTGCAATTATGACGATGATGTTGAGGATTCCGGTCTATTCAAGGACTTCTGTGTCCGGAATCCTGTCGTGCCACCTCAGCTTCAGAATTTTCCGCGGGCAGCCGATGTGAAAGCGGCTAAACTTTCTCGCTTGTTTCTTGTAAATTTTTTCAGGTCTCTTCTCAATCCAGTAGTGCTGTCAAACGAACAGATTTGCACATCTTTGGTTTGATGTTCAGACGTAGGCCGCGAAGATGAATATGGAGGTTCGAAGTCTGCCGGAGATCTGACTGATTTTTGAGATTTGGCGCAGATCTTCATCGTCGAATTTGGTGCTGCTTAATTAGCGAATTTGTTCGCTGCTCAGAGTTATCTGCCGTTGGCCGCGATTAGAGGGTCAGCGAAGAGTAGTTGATGGACAATGGTTGCTCAGTTTTGCGTAGAAGTTAGTTTTTCGGCTGTTGAGAAGCAGGGCGCCGGTCCCATAAACGATTCTGCTCTCAGGGCGCCCATCACGGTTGGCCTCCGGCAGCATGCCAGGGAACATGATACTGGGGAGGGTAGGAGCGAATCCGCAACCCTGCCTCATCCCGTGAGTCACTGCGAGTGCTTTCGAGACCGTACCGTTGTTCGTGACGAGCACAATCATTCCGCCTTGGAACTGACGCAACATGTGTATGAATCATTCAGAACACGAAGACTTTTACATGATTTACTAGAGTCCTCAGAAAGCCTTCGTCGGGCCTATGAAGGTAGCGCTGAGGTTGGCATGTATTTCGTGACACTTAAATTGCAATTGGTGGGTGGCGGAATCACGACGGTTTTCCGGTGGTCATTGGAAGCGACAATGGCTTTCCAGGAGAAATCCATTTTCCAGATGCCCGTTTAAACGATCAATAAAGATGCGAACGAAAGCCTTCCCGGAAATTTTTAACATCGAGACTCGTCTATGATCGCCGCATAGTTGCCGGTTCCCTTCCACTCATAGAAATGGACGATGATCGTGTCCTTGAAGTCCTTAAGAGCTTGTCCTTCACGCCACATCTCATCGAACACTGTTGTGATTTTTTCTATCGGTCAGGGGCCGCCATGCTTGTAGACTTAAACGGGAATCGCGTCAACCCCCGGTACATTCCTGCCGCAGATATTCCTCGAAGCTCTGATGCTTCCTGGGAGGGATGATATGAGGTCCAGATCATTGTTCTTCTTTACATGGGATAGACGGTTGATGCTGATGTCGGAGGTCGAGGATTGACCGTTAAGAACGTTCTGAATTGCTCGGCGCAGCTATTCAGATTCTGCGGTTTCTCCATGAGGAGTGTTGATTCGTCGGATCTGAGCAGTGGCGCGGTTACTTTGGCTGTGGATTTGTAGATTACTTTGATGGAGGTGAAGTAGTTCTTCGTTTTGCTGCGGTATGCGGACCCTTGAATTTCTTCGGCCTTGTTGTCCATCCATGTATCTTGAATCTTTCGTAGCTGTTGCTGCACAAGACGGTGACAACCACTTGTCGGCCTCCGGTACAGTCACCAGGAGGGCGTGCAGGTCCTTCTTAAACCCGATCCGCTCTTCGTTGGAGCTGGTCAGTTGGGTGTCATGGACACTGACGTAAGAAGAAAATTTGGATTTCCGAATAGGCAAGCGCAGGCTCATAAAGCGGTCTTTGACGCACCGCGGCAGATGGGACAGTCGTCTCATGATGTTGTTCCGGATGACAAAGGCGACGCCCGCGTCTTGTTTCTCTGCCTTTTGGGCAGCCGCTGCAAAAGAATGT